ACCTGGCTGCACCGGTGATTCTCAAGGACCTACTCCATCAGAGTCTCACGCACAAGACAAAATACTAGAGTCACTACAGTGGATCAAAATCCCATTCCCTTCAACCCACATCACTGTGGCGGATATCACAGTCTGAATATTTGGTTCTGTGTGCATCTTTACAGTTTTTTGCAGTTGCTAAAACACAATTTCTCGAACCTTCTTGTTTGAAACTCTACACAAAAAAAACAAAATATCAACATACTAATTTATATACTATTTTATGTATACATCTATTCTTTGGTGGTGTACATTCAGTTATGAAGAATTTACAGTAGGGTTTTGCCCGAGAGCTTTGAATGACAACACGTGGAACTGCTGTTTCTTCATCGTGTTGAATGCTATAAGTGCTCTACAGCTGAAAGTGAATCTAGAGTTGACAGAAGTGTTACGGTGAAGCAGACAATGCAGCAGCCGGTCTTACAATGTGGTTCAAGGTTGTGTCGCCGTTGTGTACTTGAGCTGCACAATGCTTTGGCATGGGCTAAGAAGTGACACATCCAATAACCCAGGCGCTCTGTGGGTCAAAACAGCTCCCCTACATGGTTAAGTAAATCTAATTGTTATTCTGGAAGTGAGTGGAAAAAACTGTGGCGCAAAACTGTTTTTGTACAAAGAATAACATATCTCTGCATTGACGGAGAGTGGAGATTGTAAGAGTGTAATTCAGCAAGAGGGACAGCTGTGACTGTCAGACAGAAATACCACAAATGAGACTAAACACAAGCAAGAGCTTTAGTTTTTTTACATGTGTGGCACAGACAGGGGACAGACAGGACATAGACTTTCAGCAAGAAAAGGAAGGTCGGATGGGAATCCAGGTCTCACCTTTTGTTCTCTTCAGATGATGGACAGGCTTACGTTGACCTTTTAAATTGCCTCATGGAAGTAGAAAAGAGATTGTGCACTCCCATTACAAGCAGCACAGAAAATAGTTACTGTTCATAAGCCACCCTTCGCTTAATCAGATGGAAATGGCAAGACGATCATGTGCTTGAACCCAGGTTGAAATCCATGACATCCTGAAATCGTTATCTTTGTTACCTTAATGAGAACATAAAACTTAATTGTGGAGGACGCTTCGTGAGTGCACTCGGACACAGTTCCTTGGGGAGCCTGTGGATGTAGGCGGGTGCTGCCTTACCCGCCCAGAAGATGCATGACCCAGATGTTTGATGACTGGACATGACTGGTGGAAGTCAGGAGACATTCTTTAATAAGAGTGATCAGGAAATTAGCAACTCACACCCAAACCTAGGACGCATAGAAAAATAAAACTGTGTTAAAAGAGAAGGTACAAAAGAAACACTGAAAGCCTTCTCGCTTTACAAGCAAGATGTAGAAGAATCTCAGGGAAAGTGAGGGAAAGTCTGAAACAGATCTTTGACAAAAAGTAATAAGATGTTAGTGAGTTGCCCTCGGAAATCAAGACATGGCGAATTACAGGTACAGCCATGAACAAAAGATTAAGCTGAGAAAATAGTGTTTGATATTGGTTTAACAATGTAATATTTGTTTGTATATTGTATTGCATGAATAAGAGCCCGGCAAGCCTCCATAAAATATCCACTTTTCAACACACATCAAAGGGCCGTTAGACAAATTCCTGGGTTGTGCTCGGCTCTTAACCCCTGCAGAAACTTTGTATGGCGTGAGTGACAAATAACAACAAATTCATGAGCTGGCAGGAAGAATTCTTCAGAGAGACATGATTCTTGAAGTCAAACAATGTAAATACTTGGACACCACGAGGAGAAGCACTAATAGATGGAGAGGAGAGGCAAACGGAAAGGGATGGGAGAGGTAGAGGGGACAGGGACACAAGGAGCAGTTTGGCTGCCAGCAGTCTGCCTCATAGAAAAGGTAATTTCCAAGCTAGCATGCCATGGGGGGTCGGGACAAGCATCCCATGAAGCAGATAAAGAACAATAGCAGGAACTATAGTCTGGAGCCTCTCCCTGGACCAGAATAATAGAAAGACCCTGTAAGATTAAGACACACAGGAAATATTTTTATGATGTGATTAATGCTAATGCAACAAGCAGAATTGGATCATGAGGAATGCCAGACATAACTACAAGCCTCACAACACTCAATGAGTGCTTTTGATGAGTCGAGAACAATTTCTCGTTTTCCAGGAAAAGGCTGCACTTTAGTTAAGGAACATCAACAATGTTGAAAATGAAAAGAGACACAGTACAGAGTGACAGAAAATTATTCAAATTCAATTAATATCACACATGTAAAAACTTGAAGTGATCTTGTGTGACTTCACAATTAAAATATGCACTTTCTTTCAGTCAAAAATTGTATCATTAGACACATTTTGCATCCACAGAGGTGTTAATACCCTGTTTGTTGTTAATGTTGTTAGTTGTTGTTAATTGAACGCACATTGGATCGCAAAAGTGGCACGAGTGTAGGCTGTACTTTGTGGACCTGTGTGCCACTCAGGTATTCCCATTTTCATTGTTTAAATATATAAAGAGCTGTCTGTGTTATGATGGAGCAGAAGGGTTTTGTCTAGTTTGGGGTTAACACTTCATATCCTTTTCTATTCAACGCATTGTTCCTTTTACCACTGATAAATATCTTGTTTAAACAGCCCGCAGACACACTATGCCGTCTGTATGTTCATAAATCCTCTGGAGCTGATCAACACAATGGCCCACATTCCTGGCATTTAAAGGAAGTCCCTTATATCACTGGATCTCCTCTCCACCAGAGACACAGACATTCTAGGAATATGACACTGGAACAAAAACATCTCTCAATGCGTGTGTGTTTATTGCATTTAGTTTAAGACATTAGTGAGACAGGGACACATCACACTTTAAGGGGTGCACATCCAGTACTTTGCCTTTTGTAACACATCGCTGGACTTCTCACCTCCATCCTGTTTGACTCCAGTTACGTCTTTGGCAATGTTTTCTCTAACATGGAATAACAGCATTTTCCTTCAACATTAGCCATTGTTTTCCTTTTTTAAATTTAGAATAAATAATGGTCATTCAAAAGAAATGGAGACATTTATCAGGGTTAAATCATTTGACCTGACTCTAGCATTGTCGCTGTATGTGGGATTACCAAACACCCCCTGCTTATTATGGCTTCTTCTGGGCTGATGAGGTGTGAAAGTAAAAATGACTTCATATCCATTAGATTAAAATTAATAAGAGCTATTGACAATTTTTTACTTTAAGAATGAGTCAGAGGTTTATCGCAGTGATGAACTCAGTTATCATCCAACTCTGCAGCTCTACACGGCATTTATCTCCTTTTTAGCTTGTCTTCTTCGATGCAAATGTATTGTTTGCTTCTGTCTTACCACGGTCATCAACCCCATCTCCAGCAGGAACTTATGACCTTTGTTTTTGTCCAACACATTAGTGTCAAGGCATGACAGCAGCGATATGGATATAAATGATGATTGAGAGGGATTACTTTAGTCTACACATTGGTTTTTTTTCAGAAAATGCTGGATATTATACTTTTCTTTGTTGTTGTTGTTGATATAACATTGGGTTAACAAACCTGTGTACAGAAAGGTATTATGGGTAGCCGTGCACACCATCAAAATCTAAATCTGCACGTCAAGCAAGTTGATTGGTTGATTTAGCTCCTGTCGGTATGATCCGGAGATGAAACCATTACCGTGGCTTTACAGCTTTAACATAGAGCATCGCAGCTTTTGTACGACTATATTGTAATTTCATCAGTGTGGTGAATACCTGATTTGTGAAACATTGATCGTAATTGTTTGGTACTTATCAAGTTGACAATCTACACTGTATGCTTGTGTTCATGTTACCATGCTGGATAATTGATAACATTTTCTCCTCAAATAACAAGGTAAAAACAGCACCACAAATACAATGCTCAATGCTTTGTCATCTTTTGAACGGCTTTAAACTTTCCGCCCTTCTAGCCAAGGTCAGGGCCCATTCAATCTCAAACCCTTGGGTGTTGTCCTTTGCAAAAATAAAAACTCAAAAACGGTGGCACTTCCTCACGTAGCCCTATGAGATGGTTGAGGTTCACTCACAACACCCAACACTGAGCTTGCACCGGAGAGGAATTTCCTTTTGTTTTATATCCACCAGTCAGACTGAACCTCTCGAGGTTGTGATTTCCTTTTCAAGAAGTAAAGTTATATTTTAGTCATATGATAGTTAGAAGCTATATTTTGCAATCAATTTGTTATCGCCTGTAGACACACATATTTTATCTTGTATTTATCCAAAGCTCCCTTGTAGTCACTCCTGTCTGACAAAGAACAACTTCTCACTCATCACACACAATCTCTGATCAGAGTCAATGTGTGGTTTGATCCATGAAGCCGGCTGCCATGTGTGATTGAGTTTCACAGGGGTCTCATGGATGCCAGACCCCTTTTCCTTGTGGCTACACGGTTTAAACGCCCACCCATTACAGACATCCATCCTTCTCGGAAATGAACTCCTCGCTAACAGATAAGGTTTGAGGTTACACTTCAGCTCCACCAACAATAAGACTTTGATCTCGTTGGGCGTTTCACAGTGGCATACATTGTATGACTTGATTGTGCCTCGTCTGAGTTTGTACCTCCTGTGTAGCTCTCTGGAGGACAGGATATATTGTGTATAGTGCAAAGAATAGTGTGTGTGTGTGTGTGTGTGTGTGTGTGTGTGTGTGTGTGTGTGTGTTTGAAGGGAGGGGTTGTGAGTGAAGCAAAAGCTTCCAGCAGTAGGACCCAGAGGATTTTTGTAGGAAAAAAAAACTAGACCAGCACACCTTCATGATATCTGAGGCATGACAAAGATGTGGAAAAAAAGTTGTTCAACACCAACAAAAAAGCTTTGAGCCATGTCATTGGCTAAGAAGAGTCTGACAGGAAAATGCCATGGCTCTTGAGGTCAGCGTGGAGTCTGCTATAAATGTATTGCAACAGACCTTCACTGACTCTGCAGCAGGGTGAACTATCATCGCTCATCTTATCAGAGACAATATGAGCACTTCTGTGGCCGTGTACAGGAATATTTACACGGAGGACCGCTTTAAACAGGCCTACGGCTCCGATGATAACAAGAGTGGAAGTTTGCAGCTCCGGGAAAAGCTCGCCGGGAAGTGCAGGTGTTCAAGGCGAGCCTGCCTTCACCTGTTGAGGGAGAGAGTGCCCATTTTTGACTGGCTGCCAAGATACAGACTAAAGAAATGGATGTTAGGAGATACTATAGGGGGACTGACAGTTGGTATTCTTCACATTCCGCAAGGTGAGTTATGTATTATCATGATCAACGGGCAAATAAGGCTTGTTTTGTCTTACATTACTTCAGTATTTTATATTATTATAACAAGTAAATAATTTCATTTAGAATCAACTGAGCCAGGATTCTATGATAATGATTATACCCTAACAATAATATCATACTCAAATGATGATGATGATAGTAACCATAATAATAATAATCTGAAAAGTCAACAATACACAGTTATTATTATTATGATTATATTCATATTGATAATTATCCAACGAATTTGAGCAAATATTGCTCGGTTAGAATACATCAACAACAACCATAAGGCTAAAGTGTCAAAATTGACAAGGTCACAGGGTACATTACATTACATTACAGTCATTTAGCAGACGCTTTTATCCAAAGTGACTTACAATAAGTGTATTCAACATCGGTATTCAAGATAACTACTAGTCACCAGAAGTCATAAGTGCATCTCCTTTTTTAAACATGCATCGAAGAGCATAAACCAGGGTGGATACTACATACACTCTATATTTGTTGTAGGGTCAGTCACTTCTTTTATTTTTTTTGTACTCAGCTAACTTTACATACTTCAGCCATATAATCCTATTTAAGTACAGATTTTACATTCTGAACATAAATTTGAAAAATGTGTTTTCTGCTAAACCGTGTTTTTGAATTTCCTTCCCTTTAACAGGCATGGCCTTCGCGTTACTCACATCTGTAGCACCAATCTTTGGCCTTTACACCTCTTTCTTCCCCGTGGTTCTCTATATGTTTTTTGGCACCGGTCGCCATGTGTCCACAGGTAAGACTTCTGTCCACATATCATCTAGTGTATATTCTAGATGAGCTTCATCAATCAGCAGGGTCACATTATCTAATGCTTTAACCTAGAACTCGATGCTTTCCACTGTTACTGAGATGCTACTGTATGTCTGTTCTCAGGTACCTTCGCTGTGGTGAGTCTGATGACTGGTTCTGTGGTGGAGCAGCTGGTTCCCACTCCTCTGGAGATGAACTCAAGTTCGCCTGAAGCAGCCGACTTTGAGGCCCAGAGGATTGGAGTTGCATCAGCTGTAGCGCTCCTCTCAGGAATTATCATGGTAAGACGGCTGCACAACCTCTATGGATTTAACACAAAATGAAAAAACAATGGAACTGTGACGGAAGACCTGTCTTTTTATGAATGCTAGCAGACTTGATTCCCCAACACAGCTCATAATTATGTGTCAATCTCTTGTGCCCCAGCTCTGTATGTTTGGTCTTCAGCTGGGCTTCCTCTCCACCTATCTGTCAGAGCCAATTGTTAAGGCTTTCACCAGTGCTGCTGCCTTCCATGTTACTGTCTCACAGCTGCAAAGCATGCTGGGGCTGCGGCTCCCTCGCCACACTGGGACTTTCTCCCTTTTCAAGGTAGGCAGCGTTTCTCGATGAAATCTCGATGGTCTAATCCACCATGTTGTTATTTGGGGGTTTTGTGCTTTCTGCTCACTGCTCACCTACTATTGTGTTCAGACTTTAGCGTCAGTGATGAAGAACCTGCCGCACACCAACATGGCTGAGCTGCTGATCTCCTTGATGTGTTTGGCTGTTCTAGTGCCAATTAAGGAGATCAACATGCGTTACAGACAGCGCCTTCGTACGCCTATCCCTGTGGAGATCCTCACGGTTAGTCAACTGTATTTATGAATGTGCAGGGTACATTTGCTATTTACAATACAATCAACAGTTTATAAGTCATGGTTTTATACTTCATTCTTCAGGTGATTATTGCTACAGGTGTGGCCTATGCCTCCTCGCTGGACTCTACTTACAACATTGAGATAGTTGGTCACATCCCAGCTGGGTAATCTTTTTGGATTTGAAAATAAAAACAGACCTAAACACTGAGCTCAGTAGTTTTTAGGAGTTTGACTTTTAATTATCCTGTCCTCAGATTCCCAAAGCCACAGATGCCTACCTTGAGCACCTTCCCTGACATTGCTGGCGACACCATAGCAATAACATTTGTCGGTTATGCTGTGTCGGTCTCTCTGGCAATGATCTATGCCGATAAACATGGATATTCCATCAATCCCAACCAGGTAAAGTGTGAACATTTCCCAGCTGCTTGTTGACATGTTCGACTTTCACCAATCTGTTAACTTTTTTTGTACGGAACCTGTGCTTTATTTCAGGAGCTCCTGGCTCACGGTATCTCCAACACAGTGTCTTCTTTTTTCACATGCTTCCCCAGCTCAGCCACTCTTGCTACCACTAATATACTTGAGAGTGCTGGAGGATACACACAGGTAGTGTACATGATATCCAGTAAGTTTCACTGTGTCACATTCATAAGCCACAAGGCTTTTTGTATTAATAAAGGTGCAATCCACAATTCAAATATCAACAGAGGGGTCACACCAAGGAAACACAATGAAAACACTTCACTCTTAAATAGTTTGAAAGGTCCTTTTATGTTACTGTGTTTACTGATGCAAAAATGGCTTGTATATTTAATCATGATCAACAGAAAAATATATATAAACTCTGTTCTTTTATGTATTTGAATGTACCTTCAATTTATGCTGCCAAAGATGTACAGATTGGGGTTTTACGAGTTCTAATCCACTTGAATGCAGTTGAAATGAGGAGAATGAATTTACATCCAACTGTTTAAGGATTTTCTTGCATATTAGCTTCCATATTGTGGGATGCAGAAAATACTCCAAACAAGGAGCAACACTACCGGGATTTCCAGTAAGGGATGTGTGTGTGTTGTGTGTGTTTTGTGTGTGTTCCTGCAGCTCTCCGGCTTGTTCACAAGTCTGGTTGTTCTGATTGTCCTGCTTCTGATTGGACCGCTGTTCTACTTCCTACCAAAGGTGTGTTTAATATGTGTCTATCTGTCTGTACAAAAATGAGAGAAAAAGAGAGGGAAAGTTTACTCCTCTCATCCTTTATCTCTCTCCCCCCAGGCAGTATTGGCATGTATCAACGTCACCAGCCTCAGGCAAATGTTCCTCCAGTTCCAGGACTTACCTGATCTGTGGAGAATCAGCAAGATTGACTTCGTAAGGCAATAGATTAATACAACAATACAAGTATTCCTCGAAATGGTCTCCATGCATGACAATAAAGCATAACAGACTGAAAGGAAGAGGATTAATCAGCTCCCTATATCTACCATTAGGTCAACAACTGACCCATAAATTAAAGCTAATTGGTTTTATCAGTATCTGCTCAGGCTGTGGTCCTTTTATAAAGCATTAAATAATTCCTTAATTCACCTCATCTGGACTTAAATGTGATGTGCCTTTAGCAACATATTACCTTTTTAATTTGGAATTTAAATGGAAGACAACCACTTGCAACTGGACTTCATTCTTGTGATTGTTTGTAACACAAGTGTTTACTGGTAATTTTAGCTGGAGCTGAGTGAGGTCACACAGGTTTTTATAGTCTGAATCAGCTGCAGTTTAACTGGCTGCTGATCAATTAATGACTCATGCGGCTTAAAATGTTAATGGGTACGTCACAGGTGCAAGGTTATTTGAAACACTCTTCCAACCAAAGAGAATCAGTTATCGACCAGGCCATACTATCATGAGCTAGTAGAGCACAAGTTGCACACACTGATTGCTTGGCTGGAATATTATTTTCACTGACGTGCCTCCGTTGTTAATTGTTATATCCTGACATGACTAAATGTTATTTTGGCTTGTGTAGATGGTTTGGGTGGTAACCTGGCTCTCTGTAGTGGTCCTCAACGTGGATGTTGGCCTAGCTATCGGAGTGGTTTTCTCTATGATGACCGTCATCTGCCGCACACAAAGGTACATTTTCTATTCCCTTCCATTCCAAATATATAACATTCATCACAGAGAAGTAGAGGATCACTTTATATACTTGTCAAGCTATGTAGATCACAAGTTATAATGTGGTCAACTAAAGTTGATGACTGTTGGCTCCAACAGGGCTGGTTGTTCAGTGCTTGGTCGGGCCAGCAACACAGAAATTTACAGACCTCTGGAGAACCACAGCAAGGTGAGAAGACGCTCTTACTGTTAACCATTTATCATTATTAAACTTACATTTTTTTGTACTTCAAACTGTAGTTTCTGATTCCAACAAGTGAAAATCATAATCTCAGAGACGATGCAGCCCATCCAAGAATAAAGTTGGGACGATCCTGTTTTCCTTTCAGTGCTATGAGATACCTGGAGTGAAGATCCTGACTTACAACGGGCCTATTTACTACGGCAACCGTAGCTTCTTCAGGGAGGAAATGAGCAGGCTGCTGGGCCTGACGCCAGAGAAGATCCGCAGCTGGGAGAAAGCCAGAAAGGCCCTGGAGAAAATGGAGAGAGAGGCTACTGTCAGCACTGTGGTACAACTACTAGAATTACTAAATGAGCTGCATTATAAAAAATGTGAAGTTCACACTGTACAATTTGATTTCAGTGTCTTATTGTTTTTTCTCCCTCCATTGTTGTTTAGGAAGGAGGAATTGCAAACACATCATTTTCATCAGAAAATGAGTTCTTTAAATCTGGTAAATAATGAGCGTGGGCCATACGAAAACTAAAAACTATATATTTTAAATACGGATATCTACAATAGTTCTTTGGCCATTACAAATTACATTTTTTTTAGATTGCTCTATTTACATTTTGGTAGACATGTGCTGCAGATAATTTCAAGCTTTCCTTTCATTACCTTTTTTCTTTTCTGTAGAAAAATCCAAGAGTGATGTTCAGGCAGTGCTAATCGATTGTAGCAGTGTGACATTTGTTGATGTTGCTGGAGCAAGACTCTTTACACAGGTTAGTCTGCTAAAGCAAGACACTATGCTTCAAACTTCCCTACATGGGATTCTCTCCATTTCTTTGTGCATTGTGTCAACATGATTGATTGCTTTTGGCTTTTTGCAGATGTGTACTGAATGCCACAAAGTTGGAGTTCATGTATATTTGTCAAACTGCAATGGTAAGGCCTGTATCTAAGTGATTGCTTTCCTAATGGTATTCTATGTTTATAGTTTATTCACTTACATGCAGTGAATGCTTATCAATGATTTCTATCCCCCTAGAGAGCGTCTTAAAGATCCTAACATCAAGTGGTCTAATGACCTACATGAACCCTCAGCATATTTTTGTTACTGTTCATGATGCAGTGATGTACATTCAACAGCAGAAGGTAAGCTCGAGAGGAGACATTTTCACAAATATTCAAAAGACTTTCATTTCTAATTACTTTGATTGTCCTAAGCAAAAGCAACTTCTGTCGTCTGATGTAGGAAAAACCTACAGAGAACACCACGACTGTCTGGGTATGAGCCAGGAGGACAGTGACGAGTCATGCTCCCATCATCCAAGTGTCTTGGACTAAGAAGACAGAAGAGGGCAAATGGGTCTTATACATTTTGTTCTATAAGCAGAGACTATGTTTCTCTGCTGTATAGCAGTGCTCCATTATATACCAGTGTTTCAAAGAAACAGTAGCCTGTTGTAGCACATCATGAATTACAATAATTATCACATACAGTGTTACCACTTTTCTCACAAACTCTCTTCTGGTACACTTTAATCGGATTTTAGTACACGGTCACAAATTCAGAGGGTTTTAAATAAGATCAGGCATAAAAAAACCAGACATTCTCCTCGTATATTTAGTGTAAAAAAAAAGAAAAATAAGTAATTTTGTCCTATGACTATAAAACTCTATATGACAGATGTTCTTTCTTTTATTGTTGTGTATTCTGTAATATTAGCATAATGGTATTTATTTAGTTTCTGTGTGTTGTTTGCAATACGGATTGAATATAAAGTGCACTGAATAGTTTGTTAAATACTTTATGTATTTATATGTTTTAAAAATATGTGCTTGAATATGCAACTATGTAAAGTAAATTCCAACTCATACGACCTTAAAATGTTCTCACTTTGAACTCCAGAGAGACTGCACAAAATATTTCATGAAATTACTTTTGTATTTGTCAGCAACTGTGCCATCCAGTGGCTGTTTTGACTATAAATATATATCAAAGAACAACTTCTTGATGACTCCATTAAATTGAGTTAGGTTTCTACATCAATACTTGGTTTACCATGGTTATTAGGTGTGAATACATTTTAGGGGAAAACACAGTGTGGAATGTGAAGCACGCCACTCTGTCATATTTTGAAGGGAGAAGAAGAACAGTCTTTGTATTTGGTGAGGTACCGTAGACCGGCGTGTCTACACTGAGATATAATGAAAAATGAAAAATGCATTATTCAAATGACACAAAGACAAAGGTTTTCCTTTTTAACATGGGGAAAGTAGGAACACAGGTCATTAGTTCTGCCGAATTCTGGTTTATTTAACATGCATCAGGCAAGCTACAGTGGTGTCAATTCATGTATATTTTCTTTTAAACTTAAAATCACATTACATGCAACTTTTTGATCCAGCCTGTCGACCACTTTCTACAGAAAGAAAGATGTTCATATTATAAACCAAGTTTGACAAAACCTTCTGAAAGATGGACAATATATGTGTTACCAGTAGCTGTAAATGCCATTACATTGATTGGAAGTGATGTCTTAGCTCACAGCCATGTTGTCCTCTGCTGTCCAACAGTTAAAGGTTTCCCCCCCGCTGCTACTGACGATAATCCTGTTACTTTGACCTGATGAAACTATATGCAGTGTGAGTTCAAAACCAGGATGAAAAAGGGAAAAAAACTAATTATTTCCTTGCTTGATGTTGGATAGCCAAGTTATTAATTTTTTCCAGTGCATATTTCAAAGAGGCCTCTAGACAGTGTACCCTTTGGGTTTTCCCTTTAAAGCTCAAGGAGTGTTTCACTAATTGGCAGGAAGTAGTCCACTTCAATTAGAACATGGTACACAAGGCTCTGGCCAAATGTTTACTAAGCCAGATTCTACCGGCAGACCTACTAACTGTACACAAACATAAAACCCGGAAAACTCCTCCGGGAAGGTCAGTGATTGAATGACAAAGCTTTGATTAATGAAAAAGTGCTTACAGGTATCGTGTACATGTTCTAACAGTTATGTTAATTGACTCACGCATAGCGAAGTGAAAAAAAAACTAAACAAATGGAAAAAAAACAGGAGAAAACAGTGGAATAATATTTATGAAAGGATAAAACATAAAGTAATTTCTATTATTTCTATTATTTCTTATTAATGTAAGTACAGAAACAGCAGAAAACAGCAAGCGTTGAGATGTGTTGAGATGTGTTAAGATTTGTGCCTGGTAAACACAGGCACTGTAATCCAACCATATGTGCTCATAATTACTATGAAAATACTAATACTGCTTGTACTTATTCTACTGATACCACTACTACTAGTAGTAGTATACTACTTAAATGATAATCATGTTAGGGTTTTCAAAAACAAGGTAGAAAATCATTCAACTTGTGTGGCATTATTCTCTGATCTTTTGTTTCCATCTTGTGGTGAAACATTGGAATGACAGTCAGCTGTCACCATAGTGATAATACCTTAAACAAGAAGTTTATTAACTTCTTTATTTATCCGTGTTGGAAACAAATACGAGCACACATCAAGCAATCAGAAAGACATCTTATTACTGTGGTGGAAATTAATCTTTTTCACCTCCCTGTGAGATATAACCGTGATGAAAAAACTCTCAAATGTCTCAGTATTTATTGAACAGACACTTAGAATAATTCAGCTGAACGGATAGAGCTCTTTCCCTACTTATGTTTCATTCATTGGGAAAGAGCTCTATTCATTCAAGGGTCCAGGCATACAGGCCAAGGTCCCAGCCTTGGTATGTGCTTGGTATCCATGGAAGAGGGTTAAGTGGGGAGATCAGGATGACGCTACAGCAAGCCAGACATAAAATACCTTCGATATGATAACATTTATTAATTGGGTTTGGTGAGTTTGGATGGCCTCGTCTGCATATGTTCAGGTTTAAGTGATACAAGCTATACCTAAAGAACAACATGATAAATTGCCACAACAATTACCTGTAACTCTGTGGTGGAATAAGTACTTATTCATTACTTAAGTAAAAGTACCAAAACCACAATGTAAAAATACTCAATTCTAATTAAAAATTCCTCTTTCAAAATACTACTTGAGCTAAAGAACAGAAATGAAAGGTCTATTGCCAGTATGAGTATCTTTAAACGGCCATAAAATAGTACAAAGGTCGGCTATACATCATCACACACTTCATTCGGGAAATTGAATACTGAAATGAATGTTTTGCTACCAAACCCAACCCATTTCTCAAAATCTTCGCTTGAAAATTAGTTTAATTTGCTTAAGACCAAAGTGACAAGGATCAGATACTTCAAATATTAAATTTAAATAGTTTTATACATGTTCATCTATTTAGCTAAATGGATTTCAATTTCAGTCTGTGTTTGAAAAATACAATTACATCCACGACGCTAAACCAGTAACGGGATATCGGTGTCATCTTTACAGACGCCATGCTCCATTATGACATGAAGTTGTACTTGACGGGGCGATCCGCAGAACTCCGGTGGTACGAGAGGAGGTGGACTCTGGGTTTACATCAATGATGCTTGGTGCTCAAACATAGTCAAAGTTGATGGACAATGTTTCCCTGATGGCCATATAATCTGCCCAGAGAATTAAGTGTTTACATTCCTTTTTGATGCAAATTCCAAAAATGCACCACGTTTCGTTTTGTCATGTTTTTCTTATGTAGCATAAATGGACCAGACCACTCTGCGTTACCTTGGGCAACCCTGTGTCAACAATAAATTAACCTTGAACGATAAGCTTTCGGACTTTCTCACTTGCTTTCACATACAAAACAAAAAAAAAAAAAAAAGAAAAAAAAAAAAAATGAGCATCCGGTTCCTACATTAAATAAACTTTTATTAAAAACTAAAATTATTTAAAGAACAAAGCTTGTCAAATGTTCAATAACTGAAAATATAGTTCAACTGTGTCATTTTTATTCAGTTTACTTGCACATCATAACATCACATCACATCTTCATTTTTTATACCTACACAGCCAAGTGCACAAATACAGTGTCACAATACATTCAAAGCATGTTATAAACATACATGTTACCTGAGTAAAAAAACCCCATGATAAATCCATGAGCCATGTTTTTTATTGGGAAAACAACAAATATGATAAATAAGCCTAGGCCTTTGAGTGGCATAACATACATGTTGAGCTGTTGCCAGTGCAGTGCAACATGTCACATGACACATATAGCTAAACAAATAACATTATTTAATGGTCACATCATTTGTATTTAAAAATAAAATCTGACATTTGTAGATGCAGCAACAGATACGTTCCCACACGTACCATTGTCTCTGAGGTGAATTACTAATTAACAATTCAAGGATATTCATGCTATCTATTGAACAGTTAATTTAATGATTTACAGAACTTGAGCCCATCTGGCAGGGCACGGGGTGTTTGTTAGATGAAAAAGTTTGGGAACCACTGATTACATCGCACTCGGCTTGATTAGTGAAGGTTGGTTGAACCTCTACAGATTGTGTCGTTTTATCTTTTTCAAGTCACATTACATAGATATCAACACAGCGCATTAAAGATATCATGATACTTTGACCAAAGAATTGTAATCTGTTCATAGAAAAAAAATCAGTCCACACAATCTCAACAGCAAGTGCTAAGGTAGTAAACAAACTGCAAAATATAACAATATCATTTTCTGCAGTCTTCACTTCACCTGAAAACAATAATTTCCCATTTTTCCCTCACATTTAGGCAGCAAACAGACATGTTCAGCACACGTTTCAATGACTGGTCATGCACTTGAACCTGTTCTTGAAGTAGAAGTCTTCCTTATGAACGTCATTGTCAGCACTGGAAGATGAATAGCGGAATTTGTCATAAGCCTTTTGTGAGTCTGTTTTACTCCAGGGTAGAATGATCTTCGATGCGTGGCTTACAATGACGTCACTACAGGAGCCAATGTGGAGGGAGCCCAGAGCGTCGATGAAAAACTCTGCAGTGCCAGAAGAAAATTTAGTTTGAACAATCCTTCCTTGAATTTCCCTTGGTTTTGTTCCTTATACATCTTTCCAATCTGCAGCAACTCAACATTGTTATCACAGCTGTACCGCAGTGTCTAGAGAACATAGCTAATATAAACTGCTTTGTTAATACATTTGATAGCCAACGTTACAGATAGACTCACCTAGATGACCGTGCCGGGCCAGACGGGGATTAAATCCCGCCTGCTGCACCTTGTCTGTCCTTCCTAGGAAGAAGTTGATGACTGCATCAGCTACCACACAGTTGGGAAATCCCTCGATGACATGGTGATAGCCATCTCTGATATGTAAACAGTCACCCTCCTCTCCCCCTTCTTCCACTGAAATGGTGTGACGGTAAGTTGCAGTGTAACCTGTCACCTCTCTCACTGCACCACCGACCTGAAGTCGGTAAGACAGCAAAAATGTAAAGACAATGAAATAAATGTAGTTTTATAAACGTAGTTCAGGAACGGGGCCATGCCCAGAACACCGCTCATTTCCTCTGCACAGAGTATTTAAGCACAACGAACTCGTTCACTCCCTCTTCGACTCTCGTCTTCACATCCCTCCCCCCAAAACCCCCTTTTTGTCGTCCGATTTCTCTCTCTCTCTCTCTCTCTCTCTCTCTCTCTCTCTCTCGTAGGATTACAGGAACAACAGGGGACTCTGCTCCGCCAGAGCTTCCGAAGAGATGGCCCCCACCCTACAGTCTCCAGTCCCCCCGTTCCCGCCAGTTGCCGGACATCAACGGTCCCCCATCGATCGCCTAACCTCCTTTCTACAAACCCTCCTCGTTTCTTCTTCCTGACATCCCTTCATCCCTCTACCGTACATCCCTTCATCCCTCGACCCCTTCATCCCTCGACCCCTCCATCCCTCCATCCCTCTACCCCTACCCCACATCCCTTCCTCCCTCTACCCTACTCCCCTTCATCCCTCGATCCCTTCCGCTTCTTGAATCTAACAATCTTTCCACTATGCAATAAACCTCTCGAAACTCATACTGTTATTGGCGTGGTCCTTGTTAGTGAAATGTGTGAAGATGGACACAGTCAAGTCACACGCTGGATGATGTAATACATCTATTATCTGTAACCGCTTATCCTTTCAGGGTACATTGACATTGAGACATTGGGTGAAGACAGGGTAGACAGATTGTCAGATTATCACAGGGCTGACACATAGAGACAGACAACCATGCGCGCTTACATTCACACCTACGGGCAATTCTACGAACAGGCTTCACTTAACGTGAGCTAAAATTAGTAGAATCGTGCCATGCAAGCTAAGCTGCTCTTCTGTGGTCTATGGGAGGAAACCCACACCGACACGGGGAGAACACACAAACTCTACAGCTAAACGGAATCTCAAAATGAATGTACAGTATTTCTTGCCTGCTGCACCTATGAAAACATGTTCTGTGTGGTATGAGTGTATATATGCAGAGTTGTGTGCAAATTCAAAAACGTTTAAGTTAGCAGAGTATTTATCCATACAACAATATGCAGTCACCATCAGAACAGCAGAAACTCACCAGATCCAGAGTAGTCTTTTCTAAGATGTCCACCATCATCTCCACCTTGGTGTTTGCAGTGAAGATGAAATCATCATCCACCCAGAGCACATATTTGGTTGTCACTTGAGACACTGCCAGGTTTCTTCCTGCAAACCAACCCTGTATATAGTAGATGAAGGTTGATCAACACATAGAAAACTGTGCTGGTTAATTACAATCCATGATACTTCATAGAGACATAGTAAAACTTTTTTACCTTTCCAAATGGCATGATGTAATGGTCAATGTGAGGCCCGGTCACTGACTCTGGGTGTTCATTATCATCTGCTATCACTATGGTGACGGTGGGATAATATTGCCGAATGCTGTCAATGAGGTCTTTGAGTTTGTCATAGCGTAGAAAGGTCTTGGTGGCGATGGTAACAAGAGCACTAATATTGTACTCTAAATAGAAGAAAAAAAAATGCAAAAAAACATTGCAATGGGGCATTTAAACACTTTGCATACAAATAAATTGATAATGAAAATAACTGCTCACAAACCTCCTTGATATCCAGAGTTGTAAAGTTTAGGTATGGCTCCATGTCCAACTTTAATAGTGAAAAATGACTGGTGAACGTCAGTAGAAAACTCAACTGCAGAACAGAAATGGGATAAGAGATGAAGCAGTGCATATTTCTGTCATTGTTAACACAACTGTCATGTCTAGCTGTAATTGCCTATGCACTGCAGTCCTTGTCACTTCTTTAATAGTAATTATGAAATTGTATCTGAATATAATATATTTCACACATGTAAAGAACCTTGTATTGATTAATACTCCCTTACTCCATTACCATGATGTCTATTGGTTCATTACTTATTGATTCAAAGTGTTGTCTATTACCTCTGATCATTAGGATGAAACTCTGTAAGGTTGAACAGGTAATCACAACATTCTACTTTTAGTATCAAGATAGTATCCACATGATAACTTTACCTGTATCTGCTGTCTTGGGATGGAAAACAGTGTTTGTATAAGTGACGAACTGCAGCTGCCTGTTCAGAGCGGAGAGAAGAGGACTAGAAAGTGTCATGTGCTTCTCTCCTTCTCCTTTAATAGAGACACTGTCCACTGTAGCAGCAACATCAAAAGTCCCCAATGTTGCTGTCAAATAAACCTGGTGCACCAATTGCATGGTTTTGAGGAAAAAAGAAACAAACAAGTTTAACATTTAGACAGAAAAAGTGGGTTTGTTTATCCCAAAGAAAACCACAAAGTAAAGAAATTACCGTATGGCTGGATCCTGTTTCTTTTTTAAGACCCAAACCTACGGGAAGAAAGAAATGACTACTGGGAATATCAAGATGTCTGCATTTTAACTAACAGACCAAAAGTAGGTGAAGATGTAATATATAAGCTTTGATATCATGTGTAGTGTAATGTTTGATATGCTTTTACCAGGAATGATGATCGTTTTGAGGGGTCGCACCTCCACGCCCTGGGTAGGATACTGGAGAGGATTGTTGGCCTCAGCTACAATAAGCAGATCTGCAGGATTGTAGGACCTTTACAAACAGAACATATGAGAGGGGAAAGCATCTGTATTTCTACACCATAGTCCTATTTGTTACTTTGATCACAGACTGCACACAGAGAAGACACATTGCGAATTTGATGTATGGTTCAAGTACATTAAAATCTGCATCACATAGCTCATAAGTTAAACTAATGAAATCCAGTTGCCTTTCAGTTAGATTCCCTATGTCCTGTACGTCTGAGAGTAACTTTTCCTCTTTCCTTTGCTTGATACAATTGTAAATTAAATATGTTTTACTTTGGACTGCTGGAAGACAAAACAAACAATTTAAATATGTACTTTTGGGCTCTGGGACATTGTGGTAGTTTTCACTATTCTTAACATAATCAAAATAATTATCAGCTATACTAATGCTGAGAATCTAGACATGCAGCAGGTATACATTACCCATGTGCATGGTACACAAAATAATGAGGTATATAAACCCGGCAGATCCCTCAGGCTACAGGACAGCTGTTTTCTCCAACACCCAGAGAGCATCAGCTAGAACAGCCAGTCTGATGATTTGAGGTTTGCACCTAAACTGTCTTCTTTTAAGTTAATGTAAAGTTGTTTATATTATTCCATGGCTAAATATTACAAGCAGCAGACAAGGAGGAAGGCTGTTTGTCTGCAAGAACATTGGCAGGCTAATGACACTGTCTGAAAACACACACTGACTGGAAACATTGCGAACTGGCATGGGATGTACACGGCCCATGACAAGAGGGCTCTGCAGCACGTGATTAAAAAGGCCCAGAACATCATTGGTAGCCATCAACCAAGAATCAGCGATATTGGTGACAAGAGGTGTCTGTGGAGAGCCCAAAGAATATTAAAGGACAATACCCAACCCAGACACAACCTGTTCACCCTGGAAAAAGCTTTGCACCTTGCACTGCCTTCTAAAACAGATGTGATTCAAACTGCCAGTTACATGAGTACACAAGAGTGTGTTCCGTCACTGAATCACTGAGCCATATGGTTCATCAGCTGAACTTTACCTCTTCTGAAAGCGGCTGTACTCCTGAGCTCTGTGATGCATCACGCCCCTTGGGTCAGGATGGGACTCTAAGAATGCAAGCTCAATGTTGTGGGCCCACACACGTGGGAACAGCAGATTGGAGAACGGAAGATGAAATGCCTCATCAGCCCGGCACAGACATGTATTTTGAGCCAAATGACTGTCAGAAAAAAATGGCAATGAGTGAGTTTTTAAGGATAAAAATGAGAATTCAGAGCAGAATTTAGACATACTGACTTACAACTAACCATGCCACATCATCCTTTATATGGTAGGAAATGTCATGATAGCCACTGATGGTGTCTTGGATTTTCCCTTCGAGGAGTTCTTGTATTTCACCGCCCCGTATGTCAACTCCTGAGCTGGTCCCAGGGCTCCAAGTACAAAACAGGAATAGCAATATTCCACTGATCAAAAGCAGTCCAAGACACTTCTTATAGGTGGCACGCATCTAGAATGAAGATTAAAGGAAATGTCAAAATGGTATACATAAAGACCTCACAGGATAAGGAAAACAAAGGGGCATGTAAAAGAGGTCCTGTCTTTCACATGCAAATTACTGGCTTTGATTGGATTGTTGACAATTTGACATGGGCCTGGATTTTTCAGTTCTTCATAGCTGGTTTAAAATTTATTTGGAGCTGTTGTCAGTAGTCCTGAATTTGAAATTAGCTGGTTCATGTATTGTACATCATTAGACCTTTAAGATCACTGAACTATAACATTTGAAATTATGACATCTGAATTTAAACAAAATTTGGGTTGTCAAATCTTGAACTGCATCATGTATCATGCTGCCAATGCACCATCAAGCGTATTGTTCATAAATCAGCATCAATAACTTCTCCTGCCTTTTATGAAATAAAAGAACTTGAAGCTCATAATTCAATGGGAACTTAATGAGGTCTACAGGATGTGAGGGCTGCATCTGCAGTATTGCGGTCTGCAGTGTTCATCATGAAGCCTGCTGATATTTTAGTCAGATACCACACGTTTTGAGACTGCAGTTGATGGTGTGTTGGTTTAAAGGTGGTTCATGCATATTCAGCAGAGCGTCATTTTTGTTTGAAATTCCATTCTTCAATTGAGTGTTTGCTATCTTACAGACAGCAAGATTGAAATACATTTAGCTCTAGAATTAGGGACCAAATAGAAACACCGTAAAACTATAAAAGCAGTGTTAAGATGCTAAAATAAAATATGCCATACATTTGACTGAATAAGGATTATGTGTGTGATTAACACAGCACTTAAGCATATCAGCATGCTTCCTCGTTTTGATCTCGTACCACATTCTCACTGCAGCACTTTTTGGCTGTACAGACAGCCCGTTGTCATTACCAGGGCATCGCCGATGCTTTGTCATGGCACCCTTAAGTGTGTGTATGCTAAATGATTTAACTTTTTCTTAGTTTACGTATTCATAAACCATGATGTTTTTTCTTAACTTAACTGTTGTTGTGTTTTTATTAGAATTCACATTAACTACGTGTTTACTGAGACCGTGCGCTGGTCTAACCAGTGCGTTAGAAAGCGGTTCGGCAAGTATGTGACAAGTTGGAATGAGAACGTTTTGGTACAGGTATAGGGAAGGTAAGTAGGTGACACGGAGGGGGAAGTTCAGCAGTCTGACGTAAGATTCCAACTGTGATGCCAAATGCTTTGTCTTTTTTTTTGTGAAATCGATTGTACAGACCTGCTCACAGTGAAACACCTTAACAACAATTAACACCTGAATCTCTTCTGCTTTATCCTCTTTTCAGTTGACAAACAACAAAACTGCACATGCAGCCAACATCTGGCAAGGAGTGTGACAGACAGCCTGGCTGACCAAATTAATATTTCACGGTCATAATGTCGCCTGACAACATCTGCTCATTCCCCTCTTGCTCTCTGTGATCACTTACACTGCTATAATACTGTTGATTTATATGTTTTTCTGTTTCTCTGATCAGCCAACAGAATAACTAGTGGTTTACCAGCACTCAGTCCCATGCAGCAGCAATAAAATCATTGTTTTATGCCCACAACAGTGTCTGACAAAATCCACCGGTTAATAACAACAGAGAGTTGAAATCAAAACGTTACTAGCACAAAGCCACTGACCGTCACTGGGCTGGCTTACATCATAGTTTTTTAAAAACTCCATTTTCCCCGTACATTTAGGCAACTTTGGCCTAAAGCTTAGTTTAAGGGCCAGAAAAAGGACGTTCTAGTCTGTATGGAGCACTGAAACTGAAAGAAATAAACTATGTGATCACAAATTCTGAGTATTTAGTGTGGACTTACATTGCGGCTCATCCTACTGGTGCACTGGCTCAATGGGAATGATCATATCAGAGTGATCTGAGCCATGTTGAGAGGACCTTGTGGAGGGATGGCAGTGATAGACCTTGTAGGTAACTGTATTTCAAGGCTTCAGTCCCATGTACTGTGCAGCATCACAGACTACGATACAGTGCTCTGAGCCATCATCAACAATGGCATAAGTCTCCAACGCTCTATTGTCTTGGTGAATGGTAACCTTGACGTCTATAAGGAACACTCTCCCGCCACAGTATAGTTAGGTAGTTTCCCTTACAGATGTTCAGATGTGTTAAGGCTTCTTTAAATCACTGTCCTTTGCTAGGTGAGGTCTGTGCTGCGACCTCGGTTTTCACAGGGTTTTGAGAATAAGGGTGTTTGTTGGGGTCTGGCCGCACCCTCCCAAGTCATCTTAGGACGTTACGCCAAGGTGGCTGCTGTTTGTGACTGGTCCTTAGCAGGACCTGCTCTAAGAGGTCTGTCTGATGCCTCGCAGTCACGCTGCTTTGCAGTTTCACTTTGCTGTTTGACCAGGTCAGCAATTGTCATGATGAAAATCAAAATGACACCAAGATTTAGGCCTCCAAAATTTCAATAGGGCTGAAACCTCACTTATTCATCACGGTTTCAAGAAAAAAAAAAAAAAATGCATTTTGACTTTGAGGCAATACAATCAAATTATATTCAATTTCTGTTCCGAGTTTGCATACTGGGCTACCATGCAAAACAGTCTCCACAAGGTTTGACTTGTTGACCTCAAGGTAACCACAGAGTAGCTACATAAGTAAAAAACAAACACAAAAAACAGCCCACACAGTATAATCACCCAACTGAAGAAGCCTCATGACTTTCCACAACGATCACAAAAGTACATAACTCAGGCCATTACAGGCAAATGTTCAACATGCATTCAAAAAACAAAAGTATATACAAAAATACTGTTTAAACAAGTCTCACACAAGAAAGAGTGTGTAAGATATTTTTGTGGGGCTATTTAAACTTTGTATAGTTACAAACATTTTATAGTTATGTCAAATATATTTTAATATATTATTTGTACATGTTAATGATTACGCAAGACAAATGTAAAGGATATCTATGGTCACAAATGGACGGTTTTATGTGCCAGCACTAACGATCCATAATAGCGGGAAGTAAAAAAGAAATAATAATAATAATAATAATAATAATGTTGCCAAAGCCTCCCATACCCCATCTGTCAAGCGATGAAAGCAGTAATCCAATGCGATATGTCAAACAGTCCAGAAAGAAGAGATATGGACATTTTTCTTAATGTTGTTGTTACCGTAGGATCAATATTTCCAGCGCCTTGAAGTCAAGTCCTGTTCGAGTCGTGTGAAAGCTGTCTGTGGCGTGTTCCAGTGCGTTCTGGGTCCCGTGAGCTCCAGCTGTTTGGAGCCACTCCTCTTGGACCGCGCGTTATTACCGTGGCCAAATGCTTTGCATAGATAAGTTTGTCTTTAAGGAATGGCTTCGTTTTACCGGTTGAATCGCAGAGGCTTCTTCATATCCTGTCAACACTTAGACTTTAAGCACCACGTTGTCATGCTACGGAAAGTAAGAAACGTTTAGAAGTGTTTGGATATTTAAGGCTCCAAGAACTGCACACGTTAAAAGTCCAACCAATCCAACTCCTCACACTTGAACTTGTGTGTAAGAAAACAAACAAGAAAACTAATCGGACACCAGTTATTATCCCAATCAGAGTATGTTTTATACCTTTAGATATAATATATAATTACAAATAGTATAGTTAACTATAGTTAGAATCCAATTGATATTAAATTAGAGACACAGTGGCTTTTAAACAACAAGAAAAGATCATCTAATTTACAAATTCAACCCAACTGAGCATTTGTTCGTCTGCCAGGGCTCTAATTCCCACTTTAACTGATAGGCGTTTATGTTGCACATGGGTGTGCAGTTGTTTCAAAATCTTTACATTCAATTCTGCTTTCTGATGTTTTCATTACTTCCATTTCAAAATGACACTCTCATAAAAAGTATTTTATGAGATGCATCTTTCAAAAATACGAATCTTACATCTGTAGCCGTATTTAGTACCTTACTGTGGTTGGGAAATTGTCACATCTGATGCTTCACGTGATGCAATTGTTCTGGTTTGGGCCTTTTTTTATTTATCCCATGTCTAGCTTTGTGCCTTCAGGGATATAGTTCCACTTTTCTATACCACAGTTTTGTTGTGTCTCTCTAGCTTATAGCTTCCTGAATATTTGACCACTTCTCTCTGACCAGATCCACAATGCAACTCCATCGCTTAATGCTGAGTTTTTTCAGTATTTTGTGTCAGTGGTGTCTTTTTTTCATTCATTTTGTGGCTGGTGTTAAGGTTATATGAGCCATTTCAATTACTGTGTATGTTTAACCACCCAATTATTGTATATACAGTATTCTATTACATTACCCATTCAATAATCATCCGTTCAATATGCCGGTTATTGTCACGATAGGCTTTGCCTCCTGGCTCCCTCCTGATTACATTAATTCACCGCACCTGCCCAGTCAACTCAGCTGCTTTGCATCTACTCATCACCCAAGAGTATATCTACCCCGGTTCCAAATCTACTGGTCGCCTGATCATTGTTTCAACCTCCTCTGTGTTCTGTTTGCTCTCGGCCACCCAGTGTAATCGTATTCTGAGTTCTGTTTCTCTCGCCCCCTGACAGTTATTGTTGCTTTACAGACTATTTTTAATCTACTTCTATACATAATAGTGCTATGTTTATTTTTCAGTTATCACTGCTCAGCTTTGTTGTCCTTGTTTATACTTCATGTCTATTTCTATCTTCCTGTAGATTGTTCTTGGAACTCTGCCTAAGTAACAATTTAAAACCTCAGTCAAATCTCCTGGGTGTGAAGGCTTCTTACAAATATTAAACTGAGTCTGAATGGTGTGTTGTGCTTAGTACTTGTTCTATACAGTTGCTCTTACAGGTCAGATGCTTCTAGTCAACCTATACAATATATATCTCGATCACATCTCTCATGCATTGCAAACAGAATTGATGTTTTACAGCTATAATAAAGTCTTATGGTAGATCTTAAACGTTTAGGCTTTGTTAGGGTGAAACCTAGTGGCCAAGCTTAAACTGAACAGCTTTACCCCTCTTCCTTTCTTTATCTCTCTGCACCTTCACATCACACATTTAAATAATTATAAATGCATGTAGACATAAATCAATTTTTACAGCTTTAATAAAGTTGTATGGTAGATGTTATACTTTTAGGCTTTGTTAGGGTGAAACCTAGTGGCCAAGCTAAAACTGAACAACAGCGTTACCCCTCTTCTTTTCTTTTTCTTTTTTTTTTTTTTTTTTTTTATCTCTCAGCATCTTCAAATCACACATTTAATTAATAATAAATACATCTAGCAATAAATCAAACTCTCAGTTAATTTTCGTTAGTGCATTTCAGGACGTGAAAGGCGGCTTCCTCCATACGTCACCAGCAGCCAGCCAATGAGAGGCCACATTGTCAGAGCTTAGCTCGTGATGCCGAATAATGAAAATCTGCCCAGTGGCTTTTTCTCATCACTAATCATTTCATTTGGCGACGCAAAATAGGGACGACTTCAATCAAAAACAACACATCGGATCATGTGAGCATGTGATGACACGACTGACAGGTGTAGCAGGTTTGTGCCGATTTTCGGTAACGGGCAATGTTTCGCTGTTTATGGGTTAAACCATGTCGTGCACATTAATTACTGATAACCCAGCAAAGGTAAATAACACACGCAGGCCTACGCGTGTAGATCACGTTGTTGCTGACTGGAAATATACACATTGCTGCTGCTGTGTATAATAACAATATTTCAGCAAATTTACAGTTATAGTCATGGATACCACATGGCTTTATTCCGCTATCGCAGCACTCTCAGTCATGTGTTTTGGGTATAAACTGATGTAATGCCTAGACTGGATTATCGCCGACTTTATTTATCGTTAGGATAATGAATGATGATACCTCCCTGTAACCGTATCGTTTGTATTTTAGCAACGTTTCGTTAAAGATTTATTGAACCGGGAAGTCCGAATCTGTCAATATCTTTCTAACTTTACCTAACCCACGCTGTGTTAAGTGCGAAGTCCATGTCCACAAAGGACTCCATAAAAGTCTTCATGCCAAAATTACAAACCGAATTCAGGTGTTATATTATAGCCTATAGTTTAAATGTATGTGTATGAAATCATTCTGTCTTGAAGAGAAACGGAAATGTAGTGATGTTGTAATGCTGTCTGGGCCTGAAAAGTGCATCCAATATAATATAAAGCTAGCAGAGTGTACTCAAATCACATTGCATCTTTTCATTTTTTATGCACACATCACAAACATGTCTCGCCATGCAAATACCATTTTCCGACACAATGATTTGCAAAATAATTAAATCATTTTTAATAACATTTCAGGTTTGTCAGTCCATCAAACTGATCCTGGTGTGTTGTACTCAGATGTAGACATGCTGTAACTGGGACATTTCAGTGCTGGGGGTCGGTCTCACTATGAAGGGCTCCAGCTCCAGATGGGCCTTCTCCCTGGGCTTCTTGGTGGGGGCCTGCAGTGTCTACTTCTTCCTGCGCCAGGTGTGGTTTGAGAGGAGCTACCCCGTGCTGTCAGAGGCTCAGGAAAAAGCCACAGCGGTGACTGAGAGACCAACCAGCTGGAGGAAGGAGGGAGCTGCTCTCATCAACCTGCAACACTCTCACAAAGGTGATTTACAGTCTTCCACACTGGCCCAGATAAAATCATTTACTATGTGTAGGGGGATAAATGGAGTTTATTTATTTCACAAAAAGAAATAAAGTAGAAATAAAGTGATCGGACATGGAGCACTCATGCTCATGTGTGGAGTGCCATTGAAGTGTGGCGTTCCCGATTGAACCACACGTACGATCGCTCATTGCGTGCACATTGTGCATTATGCTGTTTGCTGTGCCCCTCTAGATGACGACAGCCGGGTGGCAGATGTGTTGTACCAGAAGGTTCGTGTTCTCTGTTGGGTGATGACTGGACCTTATAACCTGCAGAGCAGGGCCCGCCATGTCAGGGCCACCTGGAGTCGCCACTGCAACGTGGTGGTGTTCATGAGCTCTGAGGAGGACCCAGACTTCCCCACTGTAGGCCTGGGCACTAAGGAGGGCCGTGACCAGCTCTACTGGAAGACTATTCGAGCCTTCCATTATGTCTACAAGCACCATGCGAGTGAAGCAGATTGGTTCCTTAAAGCTGATGATGACACCTATGTGGTGGTGGACAACCTGCGCTGGATTCTGTCCAACCACACGCCTGAAGAGCCCATCTACTTCGGCAAACGTTTCAAGCCTTACACCAAGCAAGGCTACATGAGCGGAGGGGCAGGCTATGTGCTTAGCAAAGAGGCCCTCAAGAGATTCGTTGAAGGTTTTCGAACCAAAGTTTGCTCACACACCACGCCCGTAGAGGACTTGGCGCTGGGGCAGTGTTTGGAGAAGATGGGCGTTCTGGCGGGGGACTCCAGAGATACTTTGCATCGAGAAACTTTCCACCCATTTGTGCCAGAGCACCATCTAACTAGCAAGTTCTCCAAGAGCTTCTGGTACTGGAGCTATTGCTACTACCCAATTGTTGAGGCAAGTCCCTTCACTTATGTTTTATTTGTGAGCTCGTGCGGTGAAAATGTACATTAGTACAAGTTGGCAGATATGTTCATACATCAAACAAATATAATGCATACCGATGCTGAAAATGCTTTAGAATAGGGTGTCCAGTGTAATAATGGTGAGGCGCATACCATATCACCCCAACATCCCTAGTTTGCATCATGTCATACCACCCTCTATCCCCATGTTTCTTGTCTAAATTTATTCTACAAGCTGTCCAAAAGTGCATACAATGTCCCCATTAAAGCACAAGGCGGTTTACAGATAGCTCAGAGATAAGACAGACATTCAGTGGAGTGGATAAGCCTTATTAGAAAGGGGCAAGTCAGGTTCGTAGACATGTTGTTGAGGGGGTGAACCTGTTAGTTGAAAATCCTTTAATATCATTAGTGTGCATCTGCACTTCAAGTGAAAGAATTATTCTTTCATTTGTAATGTACAGTAGGGACCTATTCTCTGAGAGTAAGTCGTGTGCAATAGTTTCTTTTTCTTTTGATGAATAAAACAAAATGCAGTTGTTGCTATAATCAAAAGTAGAATAACTAAATGAATGAATATGTAATTATCTAGCACATTCAAATGCCGTTCTTGACCCCTGAGTGAATTGAAATAGAAATGAGTTCATTTTGAAGTAGATGATTGCAACAGAGACTGTCCTGTCAACAAAGGGAAAATTGGTCAATTTGGTGCAAATGATGGAACTACTTTGCAATTAAAATTAGAAAATGCGTGTGAAAGCTGAAATTAATTGCAAAGCATTGCTGAAAATGCAGATACTCAAAAAAGCATTGAACTGCACAGCTGAAAATCCTGGTAGTTTAAATGTAAAACTGGCTGAGTTGGAAGCTGAACTGCATTATCTAAAGAAGCTAAGAACTTAAAAACATTGTGAAGAAAAGCTAGAGGTTAAACTTGGATGCTGTAGTATTATTATTATTATTATTAGTAGTAGTAGTAGTAGTAGTAGTAGTAGTAGTAGTTGCAGCAGCAAAAAAGTTGTTGCAAATTAGTATTCAGGATAATTAGTGGTCAATTTCTCTTTTTTGCAGAGTGATGGACGATAGAGACTGCCACTGTTTGTTTATATGTGTCATAATTATTAATCCTCAAATACATTGCAATGTAGCATATTTCCAGTGTGTTCTCATGTCCTAACTTTTAGGATCTGTACATGTGTGTTTTTTGTGCAATCCTATGTGCTAACGTGTGTGTTTTCTGTATGTCTGCGTTTTATTCTTCCTCAGGGTCCACAGTGCTGCTCTGACTTGGCAGTGTCTTTCCATTATGTAGAGGCAGAGCTTATGTACGCACTGGAGTACTACACCTATCACCTGAGAGCGTACGGCTACAGGCCACGCTACCGGCCCTCCTTACGCCAGGGTCTGAGCCTCGGCCCACTGTCGCAGACAGCCGTGACGGAGGAACTTAAAGGGGTTCAGGAGGTGACAGATGGAAGGAGTCACACAACTTCAGCTCTTTCTGTTAGTGGAAACCAAACTAAAGCAGAGATGGAGTCAGAGAAAGGGGGGAAAGACAATCGTGTTACTGAGAACAGGACTGCAGTCACTCAAGGCAGGCACCGCTGATTCTGTGTTTCAGCTGTGGTTGATTTCCCTGCACAGTATGTCGGCTGATGTTCTCTTCTGACGGGCTTTCTTCGATCCAATCACAGTATAATTCCAGCCAGTATTACACTGTAAGCACTCGCAGTGAGAGTGGTTAAAATCTGAATATGATTCAATGGCAGCTTTGTATGGCTTGGCTATTTTTAATCAAGATAAAGTTTTGGTTTAGTTTGACATAGTCATCATGTACAGTTGTGAATTAAATAGACATGCACAGTCCCAGATATGTGTTTGGGGAAATACAGGAAGAGGGAAGAGGCACATAGAGTATTATTTTGAAGTACCTGTTGTGAGCCAATAAGGCAGCAGCAGATGTATGAAAAGATTGTCTCATTTGTAATTTATTTTATTTTTTTCTTAAAATGGAGCGCAGCAGTAAATTGCTGTGTGTGTGTGTGTGTGTGTGTGTCACAACTTCTCTTTTATTTATGGCCTCTTTGTTTTTCTGGTGTTGAATCCGATGTTCTGTTTTACTTTTCTGAAGTTAAATTTCAGTTATATCTAATTATTTTATTTTGACTTTCTAACAAGCAACATTTCATATTACAATTTTTTTTTGTTGCCTTTGCGTCTGTTTGCATTGTTTGTCTTTGCTTTTCTTTTAAACACTGTGGTTAGATAAAAGCAGACTCTAAAGCTGTCAGCAGCGATTCGATGTTTGTTTCAGTAAGGACAACAATTGTGCTGTTAAAAATGTACTTTATTTTTATCTTTGTGTGATATGAGATGCTCGGATGCAAGTGTGTACTTGAAACCTCCTGTACTTCTTTTTGAAAACAGTAGCTTCTGATGAAAACAGTAAATCCAAAACGGTAATGAATCCCTCACGTCATTTTTTATAACCCAACAGAAAACATTGTAGCAGGTGTGATTGAACCTCTGTTCAGGCTTGAAGAATCACTCATAAACAGCTTAAAGGAAAATGCACTTGTGTTTTTAAATGAATAAATGATGTTTAAAAAATGATGTTTATTTTCAACTTTTGAAGAACAAAGAACATGATGAAGAAATAGAATGTATCGGCTCTCACTACTAATCATGTTTTGTCTTAAAACAAATACAATCTGTGTATGTTATGGTCACTTTCAAAAGCCAGCTGGCAGGTTTACAGTGTGAATCACGGCATTTAATTGTTTCCATTAGACGTTTAGTTCGTTGTTTGTGTTCTCTGTGATCTTCTGTCATTGTTGCCAGATGTGGGAGTTTCTCCGTGAATGTCTACAGCCCTAGAAACCTGTAACAAAACACGGACGCACACACACGCACATTATTCATGCATTTGAGATTTACTTTTTAGAAACAAAAAGCATACAGAGGAAATATCAAAAAGTCATTTGAGTCAGCAGTGTTATTAAGACAGCAGAAATCTTCAAAACGTCCTCTCTCCTATATGGTTTTATTTATTAGCCAGGTTAAGTGTTTACTTTGTTTTTTTAGCAGTGAAGATGTTCCATCTATAGTAAAGAAGAAAAGGCACTCACCTCAGCCTGCACTTGTTGAGAAAAATGCCTCTCCTCTCTGGATGCTCTCTCCTCCAGGGACCATTATCTGTGAGAGCAGACATTACAATATAGTATCATAATGATATGTTATCTTCATGATGAACACCTTAAATCTGAATGCACACAAAAGCCAAGGGGGCTTTAACAGATATTTGACACTTGTGAGTTGCCACACTCACCAGGCTCTGAGTTTCTCCTTCCCATAAGACCAACAAAAATGTCATGCATTTCTCCTAAAAAGAATGACAACCATTCAATTTGGATGTTTTGAAAGAATTTATAGACCGCAAGCATCTAATTACTAATCTCAAAGGTCTTACTTTTTTGTGGTGACTGTACAGCGTTTGCGTCTGATAAAAATGAAAAGGAGAAAAAAATATTGTGAACATTTGAGAAAATAAAATCCAAACTCAAATTTAAGAAAGGGACATTGTTTACACCACAAAGCCTATAGTGAGCCTATATTTCCATTTTGTCTTTTTTTCAATTTATCATTAGCATTAATACTGTTATCATTAATGTTATTATTATTACTATATACATTTGAATATAATCAGTGAGATACTCACCGGCATCTCTTTTTCCCATCAGTCCCACAAAGCTATCATAATCCAAATCGCTAAACCTCTTCAGACTTTTCTGCTTTAGGCTGTTCAAGCCTGTGGTCTGCTGGAATTATGAGAAACCAAAAATAATCAGTTTATGTTAAAAGATGGTCTGGTAATCAGCTTTTTCATTGCGTGCTGGGAAACCTACATCTGGAGTTGCTCTGCGCGATCCGGGTTCCTCGCATCTGGACTGGCTGTGTCGAAGTTTCATGATGAGAAACAGAGTCACCAGCAGCAAACCTCTTCTCATTTTGTCAGCACCACCTGTGCGACAGAATGTACAGTTATCCTGTCTTATTAAGTTTATTCATTATAGGTAAAAATATAGCTTATAATCAGGAACCAATTATACCTGTTGTGTATAACCCGCTAAGTAATTGGTGCGTAAAAGCGCGCATAGATTTTCAGATATTTTGATCATGATACGTATTGTTAGTAAGTGATTATTTTGATTATCTTGTAATTATCTTGTAATTATCCAGAAATAACAAAAAAAAGACGACAATAATGTCACGTAGACCCCTTTTGTTTCCTCTCCAAAAAGTCATGGTAAACCCTTCCACTTCTTCGTGACAGAAAAAAGACAACTGTTGAAAATAGAATACATAAACGATAAACAATAATAAACATTTTACTTGTAGCATTTAATAAGAGTAACCTTTTTCGTTACCTGTTTTCTGTAGAGCAGATAGGTATAGGGTTACAAGAGTCAGCTGCGTGCGCCCTGGTGCAGAGTATAGTAGGAACGGATAGGTCCTGCAGTGAGATACAGTCAGGATAAATGAAGAATCCGCGCTTTGGGCTAATAAATAATAGGAGGATACCTGCGTAACGCCAATCAGCAACTGGAGCGTAGGTGGAGTAGCAGGACTTACATCACGCTGTGCTGAAGGCTATGAATAATCATTGATGGTCATGATGGTGCTGGGAGCTGTTGCCTCCCCACAACACGTACTAACTCCCCTTTGCTAACAAAAAAAAGTATCGGCAACGTCACGAGGACATGGGTTTGAGCACTCAAGTCCTTCCATGAACATATTTGGGATTTTTCTTAAAGTTTACTCTCCAATATGTTGAAAGTGCAGCAGTCTCATTTATCCACCTCTTAGTCACCACCATCATCCTCACATGCTCCTCTGTGCCTTTCCACTCCATTGACCAGTGGACATGCTTACTGACAAGATACTAATCTTTTTAGGAAGTAATTAGACAGCAGCTGCCTCTGCATGTCACTGTAGAAGATGGAGATGTATGTGATGGGCTACACAGTTGAGAATTTACAGAAAATTTGAAATGAAAACAAACATGCCCACCTATCTCCGTGGGTTTTGGTTAGTTAAGCGATTAACGGATTCATTTCTAACCATACTATATGAATTTAATTGAATTTAGAAGAAAATGAAAATAGGTTTTTGACAATGCTCAAAAGAACTATGCATATTCTTATTACATACAAAATAAAACACCAGCACACTGAGTTATGAACACAAATCAAGAAGTGAATATCATCAGTACAGATAGACAGGCTGAGTTGTCATGAATAAAATCTAGACATCTGTTGATTGGACAGACACATCATCATCATAACAGCATTGACACAATGAGTACCACGTGATTCAGAGGATCACTTGAAATTGTTTCCACGGCTCTGACAGGTGTTAAGATAAAATGTCCGTCTTGTACCTTGTATAACACAAGCCTGTGTGATACTTTAAAAATAACTTTATCTCCAAGCAACAAAACACGATTTAGTTGTTCTGGCATTGTTGTAAAGACACAGTATAATTTCCTATAAAAATAAACACAAGCTGGACAATACTATTTGCTATTCATGTAAATCCTGAAAAGATATTTACGTGTATCATGAAAAAAACATTTTCCCTTCATCATCAGCAGCTGAAAACAACTCAAATTATACCAAACCTATAATTCTTCTTGCAATTACTGTGTTAGTGTTTGCACACACATTCAGAATGCAAAGAGGCATGACTATTTGAGCAAAGCAAAGTTTAACAGGCACGGGGAACTAATGCAGCTATCAATGGCATGGGACCTCTGGAGACTGAGCCCTGATAGAAGAGCGTATGACACAACAAAGCACCAGGCAAGAATCCAAATAGTGCATTGCACAAAAGGTTAACACTCCTATGTTTTAATAATGACTTCCCACTTCCATATTTGTCCTGTTCCTGTATGTAGTAGTGTGGGGATTGCAGCAGTGCAGGGGTTTGGGGTGGCGGATCTGACAGAGGTGTGGGAAGTCATTAATTGCATTTGTACATTATTGATGAGTGCTTTTTTATCCTCCATGGTAATCAAAGCGACCCTGTTTTTGGACTAACAGTGAGCACAGTGAGAGAGTGCCAGGGGCTGTTTATCCACAACATGCCATGGCAGGGTAAGCTTGGGTTGGATGTGTTGCAGGGCTATACATTCTGCAATACATTACAGGTTGTCACATGCCGTGCTCGCTGGTGAACAGTTAGACATAACCCTCTTCTGTATAGCATTTAAATGTAGTTCATTACTGGCACACCTCACAATGAAAACTCTGACTTAGTATGGGCTCCCCTCGGAGCTATGCTGACAGCTGCTCAGGGGCTGACAGGTATAGGCAGGATGTTCACGGTTGGCTTACTCATAGCAGGTGGCTATAGGTGGGTCAGTGAAGACAAACAAAGACACAGGTCAGCTTCATATTAAGATCATTTGACATATATGCTTATGAAGGAATGTGTCTCTATTCAGGCAGAATTTGTAGTGAGCTCAAATACTCAAATAGTCAGTTGGCCACTTGAAAATATGAAAATCTTCCTTTGCAATAGTTAAATGTTGCAAACAGTTCATTGTTTTCTGGCTTCATCATATTTATATTCAGATGTCTATCTGAAACATGTATCTGCATATGTTTGAAGAGCAGGCTGTCTGAATGTCAGTATCATCTGGAATTTCATTTAGTTTGACCCTTAACATTTTCATGAAATAATATTGCCCATTGATCCTGCTTTTCCTGTACTTGCTTATTGAATACACAGGCTGAATAGATTGAGATAACCTTGCCATGGAACACATGAAGTGAGGATTGGAGAGGGAAAATATTGTTAAAAGGCCAGACAGAGAGAGAAAAATCTTTATCTCACATCATTTATTCAACTCTCCAACATAGTTATAACTGCGGAAGGCAACAGAAATTTGATAATGCAAGACGGAAAACTCCATCTGGCAATTCAGTTAGTTTGGAGGTCCATGTGACGATATGAGAATACAGATTAATCCTGTAAGAAAGTGCAGGGTGAAGAATAAGCTGTAGTATATTTGCAAACAGGCTGGGTTTGAATGCACAGCTTGCAATCACTGGCCATTAAGTCCAAAGGGGATTCTGAATGTGTGAACTCAGTAACAGGAAAACAGTTTGGCGCACGCTCAGCGGCCATCCCTGCTGTTTGTTCTTGCTTGTGGCGACACGAAGACTAAAATAAGCAGATCTAGACAATTTCAGGCCTCTCCACGGTAGATCATAGGATGCACCTGTCAATAATTGAGTTAATGGGCTCTAATCTAATGAGGGAATTTAACTTAGAGTCCACTTTATACTTCTCCTTGGGGCATACAAAATGACTTTGATGGATGCAGTTTTTTCATTCCACCCACTCCTCCCTGATCTCTGACTTGTGAGGTCCTGAAGTGTCACTTCCATTTAAATGTTAATTTGAAGACTGTTTCTTTAAGACTGGCATGGATGCTGATATGCTTTGAAAGTCTATTTGCATTAGATCATGATGGGTATGTGAAACTGTGCGCTGTGGTGCTGCTAAACCAAAAACTGAAAGTGTTTTTCTGCCCTCTCCTTGTCAAACGCTTTTTGTCCCCTTTAATCTTTTCTCGGTGACGATGGTTGGCACTGAAGCCTGTGGGAGAAAACAAGACCGATGCTGTTTAAGCTCCTGACTCTCTGTTGTGTCTTGTAACAATTGTGCCTGTTTTGTCCTCATACAGTGACAATACTCTCGAAGATAGAAACATTACCATCCTGTTCATCACAGTGGGTTAGGGTTGGGGTTGTATCTGACTGTTACACAACGTTACACGGTCAGATACATTGAGATTTTCAACCCTAACAATGTGATTTCCATCCTGAAGAGGCGAAGAAGTTTGTTGAAGATTGTTTGTTTGTTGCTGAAGGGTTTTGTGTTTTAATTTGACAATTTTATTATGAAACACGTCTAAGATATGAAGATATTTCCTTTGCAGAGGGGTGTTGAATGCTACCATTTCTCTGCTACGGTGAGATGGTAATGGCTGCTTCATGCTAAATTTATTTGCTCTGCCATTTGGTTACTAACCTGCTGACACCTTTCCAAACATTGGATACTGTTACAACTAAGATGTCTTTGCATTCAGTTTGAATATTGTACATTTGTATTGAACAGATACGCACAGATACCGATACTGATATTGGATATTAGTTCAATACCTTATTCAAATAGCTGGATCGACAATAGGACGATCTGGTATTGGATACCATTATTTTAATAAATAACAACTCAGTACATATACATCTATGTATTTATTTGTTACATTTTATTGTACACAGTTAGGAAATCAATAGTAAAGGAGCTGTACTAATTCAGAACATTATGAATGAAAGCAAACAACTATGGTCTATGTAAAGATACACTGCTTTCATAAACCTGTTACAGCTGATAACGCCACCCTGACCGACGGCGTCGTAGTGTAAGTGCAGAACGAACCCTCCGGTTCCATCTCAAGTAAACACTATTAGCTCTGTCAGCAATTTAGGGTTGCTTGCACTGTTGGCACTAGTTACTACGAGCAAATGTTTTACACCGACTGTTCATATTGATCTGACTCTACTGAAACAGCATTGACACTGAAGAAATCAGTTGCTCTTATTGTTCGTAAGAGCTGTTACTGTAACGTAAATAGTTAGCTTATGTTCTATCAACCTTGTAAACAATGCTTGCATACGCTTATTGTACTGATTTGAACATAACGGCTTGAACCAGCAACCTTAACTTACTACTGAACTGAAGACAGACATGATCTGTGGGGACCATCACAGCATTATGAACAGTGATACAGTTGCTTATGGATGTAAGCATGTGTTCCGATGTGTATTTGAACGGCTTAGCTCGGAAATAAAGTACATGATCAGTTGACAACAAGTTTTTAAGCTGAACTAAACAAAACAATTTGAAGCAAAGTGATTTGTATTTTCCACCTCTGTTTTGTCTTGTCTGTTTTGTGTTTGTGTTCATATCGTGTTAAGTTGTAAGTCTGGCCACTGAGCTGCAATACTCAACAATCAAAAGCTTTGGCGTTATTGTCACTGAAAAAATATTGTGCTTTTCGAGGAGTCACAATCGGCTTGAGAGCAGGAGACCAGGCTCGTAATTGATATTTTGTTTTAAATCCATGTCGGAGAAGTCTGTTTTTGGAGCTGTGGGTAGATGATGGAGATATAGGGTTTATAGCTCATAGCCACCAATATAGCAGCTGAGCTTACATCACACCTAAATATTGCACTGACTGACTGTGCCCGGACTTGACCTCTCTTTGCTGCTGCTTTTTTTCATTTTGTCCCGTCTGCTCATAAAATTGTGTCAAGGGAAATTATTAAATCGTGAGATCAAAGTGTGCAACATAGAGACTGACACAGATATTGGAAACCATGAAATCCTATACGGTCACATTATTCACCGTCTAATTGAAATGGGACATTTGGAATTTTGTGATTTGTCCCTTCCTGCTGTGTGAGTGTCCGTGTGAGCGTACTACGCCTTCAAGAAAAAGCACAGACAAACACATCAACATACAAACACTGGAATAAATTCACTTGTTTTATTCAGCTGTGATCTAACAAAAACCCATGAGACAA